CCCCCCCCCAGAGCCATTTAACACTGAAAAAGCCGGACATGTCCGGGGAAACCCGGACGGATGGTAACCCTGAATATGGTAACCCTATTTAATAAATATGGTAACCCTACCTTTGGGAAATAAGATCACCCTATTTAGAGCCATACTGAACAAAACAAAATGGAGGGGGCCGTGAATGAATTCCAGACTGGAACTTGTCTTGGCACAGTGCGAAAGGGAGGAGACCTGCATGGGCTGGGAAGCATCATCTCTGAGGGAGTGAGACGATAGCCCTGCCTCACAAACGGGGTAGCCCGGCACTGCAGGCTGAGGACCGGGGGGAAGTCCGCACTGCACTTGGGAAATCCGGGTTCCCAACGCCTGCAGCAATTGACCAGCAGGCTGGCGTTGTTGATGTTGTGAAGCTCCCACTCCCGGAGGCGTGTGACGCTGCGAAACCCTGGCTGCCTATAAAGCCAGAGGTAGTTCCTGGCCCTAGTGTCTCTGAGGGAGCTGTCAGGGTGCGCGGGGCACGGCGAAGAGCCCAAGGATGCTGGGCAAGGGGAGCCCCGCGCTGAAGGTAGAAACGCGAAGACGTCCCTGCTAGCGCGCAGCATCCCGGTCCCCCGACCCCATGGTTTTCACCTCTGCAGCCCCGCCCCCGCGACTCCTTTAGGCCCCGCCCACTGCGCGCTCTGCTCGCCGCCATGTTGTGGCTCTACGCAGTTCTTTTCCTCTCAGTCCTCCCCTTTTTCTCGCGAGAGGCGGGGACTCGAGCGCGCTCTCTCCCTCCCCTTTTCGGAGCAGGTTCTCGCGGAAGCGATGGAGGTTTTGAGGCAATTCTCGCGAGAGCTGGTTGCCTTGGCTCCCCGTAGCTATAGCAGCGAGCGGGGGGGACGAAGCGAGCGAGCGAGAATGCTGCGGGCTCCGGTGGGACGCGTCTCTGGCGGGTGAGTAGTTACGGCAAGTGCTAACTTCCATGAGCCGGCGCGGGGCGGGGAGCCCCCCCCTTCGCCTGGGCTCCCCGACGCACCCTGGGAGTGGAGCCCGGGGGACCTGACCCCCCTGTTAGCGGGGAGCCCGTACACCCAGTTCCAGGGTGCTGGGCCCGTTCCTCCCCATACCAGCCCCGGGGAAGACCGCGACCTCTTGCCCCTATCCCCGGGGAGAACTCTGACCCAGAGCAACGACCCTGTCCTGGGTGGGAGCCTCCTGTCCCCAGGACCAGCTGCCGTCCCAGCAGTGCCGTATTCTCGGGCCCCTCGGGAGAGTGGGGAGAAAGGGGCACGAGGCGCCGGGAGGGAAGTTCCTGGGGAGTTGGTGGGCTCGGCCGTGGCGGTACTCCAGGCGGTGAGTGTGTGAGAGCGGTCTAGCGCCCACGGACCACGCAGGATAAGAGGTCGGTGGTTGCTAGTGCAATGGGACACTACGGGAGTATCAGTAATATGGGATGCAAGGGGTGTCATGTAATCAGGACTGGGAGATGAAGCCGTGAAATGAGTACTAGCACTGGGGTGTTGCAGACCGCTGCTGTACAGCAGTTCTTATTCAGTGCTCAGGAGCAAAATAATCCCATGTTTTACACATTCACAAAAACATGGTTTTGTTTTTGGCTTTTATGGAACAGTAAAGATGCTCAGAATCTGACTTTTACAAGTGAGGGGAAAGCCCCTAATAAACTATCAAGCTCTTTAAATCAGTTCCAGCATGACATGGAACCCATCTGCAGTAGTGAATTCAGCCCCTGAATAAGTGGGTGGAAATCAGTGGGAGTTGTGTTTATACCAAGGCTGAAATGTTGCATGGCTCTAACCTGCATTCAGATTGCAGGTGAGAAGAGTTATGTGTATGTTTAAGTCACGAATTTGTTGAGCTGCTAATAGTTAAAGGGGAGTCAGTAACAAACAAACAAACAAAAAAGAAGTTCCACTAGCTAAGAACATCTGCTAGCAGGAGGGAATTTTGAAGTTAGTATCACTGCTGTTAAATTTTATTAGTTAGCAATTCTTGATAAATGAAAGAAACAGAACTGCAGAATAAGTTCTAGATTGAAAGAAACTGGTTTAAAAATAGAGGCTTGTTTCCTCCTTTTGCATTGAACCAAGGAATGAAAAAAATGGCTTTTCTGAAAGGGAGAAAGCTGTCTGGCTTTGCAGGGTATGATTTTGTTTGAATCTGTTTTTTTCTGTGAGAAGATTATGGCTGTTTTCGGATCTTTGAGGATTAGAGTCCCAAGAATAAACCAAAACAATGCACTTCATGCGCTCAAAAATTACACACATGGTTTTCTGCTGCCTCAGTGAATGAGGAGAGAAGCTGTTATGGGTATTAAAGGGGTAGAAGTGGGTGGTTGTGTATGTAAATTTTCAGGTAGCTTTTGGTATTACAGAGCAAACTAAGGTGCAGTAATTATGAAGATGTATACAAATTAAAAGGAAAATACAAAAAGAGTTTCCTTATATTATCTCTGGGGCAATTTGAAAGAAATAAGTATTTTTTAGAATAATTCTGAAAACAAGTTTCTTAAAACATACATTACTGTTCATTCTCAGAAAAGGAACTAAGACTGAAAGATTCCTTGCTGCTATAGATTGATATGGAATAGCACTTGAATATAATTTGAAAATGATAAATGCAGAATTAACAATGACTGTTTTTCTCTCTAGAAGGAAAAGAAATTGTTGCAGTACTGAAAATTAAATTGGTGAAATAATGCATAACTTGAACAAGAAAGTTTTAAAATATAATTGACAAAGAACACACCATGAGCTAAAATAATTTGGAACTGGTCCATGTAGAGCAGCTCTCATTTAGGAGGTTAAACTAGTAATGGACAAGATCTCCAGATTGGACTCTCCAAGAACTCTGCTGCAGTACCTAAATTTGCGTTGCATATTCATTTGTATTGAATTAAATATTTGTCCTCCAGCTCTGTTCGCCTCTAGGTGGTGCCTGTCAGGCAGGTTTGGGTCACATTGCTCACTGAATCCTCTCCCTCCCCCCCCCCCCCGTCAAACTTGCTTACAGTTACAGTCTTAGTAGAGAGTTGTGTAATTTTGTTTTGTTTACACTAGTGACCAGATGAAGGAGAATCTAGCTCAATACCCTGTAGCCAATTCAGGCAAAAACATGTTGTGCCCTCCCTCCTTCTGTTTTGGGTTATGTAATGATGTTGGTCCATTTTGGGGCTAGACCACAAGTTCATTAAGATGGATAATGGAAATTTAAATCCTCTTTTATCCAACCCTCATGCTATTGAACATTAAACGTACTTACGTGAGTTTTAACGCAGAATACCCTGAATGGAGAAAGTGTTTTAGTTCAAGTTGGTAAGTGCTAAACATCTCACTATTACACTTTCAGGCTCTAGTTAACTCTCAGTTCCTATGTTGCACTTATTTTTTGTTTTATTACAGTAGCTCCCTGTGATCAGGTGCCTGGGATGGGCCACACTGAGAATGCCACACTCAGGGCGCACTATAAGAAACACAGCAGACAATCCCCAAAAACTAATGGTTTATTTTATGTTAGAGTCACCAAACCAATATCAAAAGAGCTTCTGTAGTATCACACTGGTTAACAAGAAGCGAAACACAGTCCCCATTAGGTATTCCAGCCCTTGGCTCCAATCGAGGCAAACAGGTCTAATATAGTGATTAAAAAAAAAAGGAGAGTTATTGAATGGTTAGGAATCATATATATATATATATATATATATATATACAAATGATTTTTCAGTGTTCATAAAGCAGATTTGTAGCAGTAATGTTATATCTGCTAACTTGCAAAAGTTTTCTTGGAATTATCCCAACAGGACAGAATACAAAGGCAGCTTAGATGTAAAGTCTGGTAGTCTTTCCATGCATTTTCCCTTTGCTTTCCCATCAGAAAGTCATTTTTCTGCAGAGAAGCAAAGAAATCTGCGGGGGACATAAATTCTGCGCATGTGCAGTGATGCAGAATTCCCCCAGGAGTAAAGGGAGCACTCTGATAAACAAAAGAGAAAACTTCGACAAGAACTAGAAGAAAAAGGAAAGCCCTTGCATAGGAGTAGTTTGCAGTTGATAAAGGCATCTGAAAATACTTCCAGCACCCATGAAGAAGTCACTGCAATAACTGGAAGGAGAAATATCTGCAGGCTGAGCAGCAGTTGGTGGGACTGCAGATGACCAAGCCAAGTTCTGAAACGTCCATGTCAGATACACGATTCACTCCTCAAAGACCCAAAGAATTTAATGAACAAGCAATACCAAGATTTAACAGAAGAAATTCTTTGTTTTAACTAGGGGCGAATAGGACATTTTCAAAATGATTATGAGAATTCTCCTAACCCAGAGGTAGGCAAACTACAGCCCTAGGGCCATATTCGGCCCTCCAGACCTTTTAATCCGGCCCTCAAGCTCCCGCCTGGAAGCAGGGTTGGGGTCTTGCCCCACTCCACACGGCTCCCGGAAACAGCGGCACGTCCCCACTCCGGCTCCTTTGTTGTGTGGTGTGTAGTTGCTGGTGAGTATTTGCTTCAGGTTGCTTCAGATTGGCGGTCCGTCTGTAAGCAAGGACTGGCCTATCTCCCAAGGTCTGTGGGAGTGAGGGATCGTCCTTCAGGATAGGTTGTAGATCCTTGATGATGCGCTGGAAAAGTTTTAGTTGGGGGCTGTAGGTGACGGCTAGTGACGTTCTGTTACTTTCTTTGTTGGGCCTGTCTTGTGGTAGGTGACTTCTGGGTACCCTTCTGGCTCTGTCAATCTGTTTCTTCACTTCACCCGGTGGGTATTGTAGTTTTAAGAATGCTTGATAGAGATCCTGTAGGTGTTTCTCTGTCTGAGAGATTGGAGCAAATGCGATTGTATCTTAGAGCTTGGCTATAGACAATGGATCGTGTGATGTGGTCTAGATGAAAGCTGGAGGCATGTAGGTAAGTATAGCGGTCAGTAGGTTTACGGTATAGGGTGGTGGTTGTGACCATCGCTTATTTGCACTGTAGTGTCCAGGTTTAGGTTGGATATTAGGAAAAACTTTTCATTAGAAGGGTTGTGAAGCACTGGAATGGGTTACCTAGGGAGGTGGTGGAATCTCCTTCCTTAGAGGTTTTTAAGGTCAGGCTTGACAAAGCCCTTGCTGGGATGATTTAGTTGGCAATTGGTCCTGCTTTGAGCAGGGGGTTGGACTAGATGACCTCCTGAGGTCCCTTTCATCCCTGATATTCTATGATTCTATGAATGTAGCACAAGTAGTGATGGGGCGCTAGAGGACGAGAGCTGAGGAAGCGTTGTTCTAAGCCAGCCATAAAAATATTGACATACTGTGGGACCATGCATCCATAGCAGTCCCACTGACTTGAAGGTATAAATTGTCCCCAAATCTGAAATAGTTGTGGGTGAGGACAAAGTCACAAAGTTCAGCCACCAGGTTTGCCGTGACATTATCGGGGATATTTTTCCTGATGGCTTGTAGTCCATCTTGTGTGGAATGTTGGTGTAGAGCGCTTCTACATCCATAGTGGCTAGGATGGTGTTTTCTGGAAGATCACCAATGGATTGTCGTTTCCTCAGGAAGTCAGTGGTATTTCGAAGATCCCTGGGAGTGCTGGGAGTGTAGGGCCTGAGGAGAGAGTCCACATAGCCAGACTATCCTGCTGTCAGGGTGCCAATGCCTGAGATGATGGGGCATCCAGGATTCCCAGGTTTATGGATCTTGGGTAGCAGATAGAATACCCCTGGTCGGGGCTCTAGGGGTGTGTCTGTGTAGATTTGTTCCTGTGCTGCTTCAGGGAGTCTCTTGAGCAGATGGTGTAGTTTCTTTTGGTAACCCTCAGTGGGATCAGGGGGTAATGGCTTGTAGAATGTGGTGTCAGAGAGTTGCCTAGCAGCCTGTTGTTCATATTCCAACCTATTCATGATGACGAAGGAGAGGCTGCTAGGCAACTCTCTGCTCTCCAGCTACTTTTCTA